ACAGTCAATTTTGTCTTGGGTTTGTTTCAATGTTATTCCATCTACCATTTTTTTGCTTGCTAGTTTCTTTAGATCGTTGATGTTTAGATGACCAAGTCGTTGATGCCATCTCAAAAGATTGTCACTTTCTTCTACATTCAATACTGCGTCAGATCTAGTTTCTACTACGTATAGCTGATCTCTTTTCTTTGCTATCAAGGCGATGGAACCATCTTGGCGAGTAACAGTTGCAGATTCTCTTTTGAATGTGACAGAATATCCATGTTCTGTAATTTTAGGTACAGATATCAAGTTGTTTCTCAAATCTGGAACGGCTATCACGTCTTGTAGCTTGATTGTATTATTGGTGTTGTTGACACGCACGCTTATATTAATTGTTCCAGTTCCAACGGATCTTAATGCATCTTTTCCTGCAGTTTGTATTTCTTTGTGATCTTGATTTATCTCTGTAAATTTCGTACAGTCGCTACACATATGTGCGGTTGCTCCGCTATCAAGACACCAGTCTGTTGAGTTTAGAGGTTGAGCCGTTTGTACTGTGACCGCCATAGCGTCATTCTTTTTGCGTGTATTGTTCCTTTGCGAATATCTATTATTACTTCTACACTCAGCTGCACGGTGGCCCGGTTTAGCGCATATGTAACATGTTCCTGTGAATTGTGAAGAAGAACGACTATTTCCTTTTGGGTAGTTTTGTCGGAAGGAACTTTTCTTTTGTTTCGATCCTATGTACAGAGCACTTTGTTCGACTAAAGATTCTTGCTTCTCTTGTCGTCTTACTTCTTCTTCAATTAATTTTATTTTTAATAATTCAGGTTTCGGTATGTCGTCTCTGGACTCGATGGCAATTCGAAATGTCTCGTATTCATCGGGCAATGAATTTAGTAACATTATAGATAGTAACTCACTTGGAATTGGGATACCCGCTTCTTCTAATTGTTCAGCCTTTTCCATAAATTCACTTACATGTCTCGACATTGATTGTTCAGTTCCCTTTTTCATCTGATAAAGTTGTTTGTATAGCACTGCCTTTTTAATTGGACCTTTCGATTTATGTATCCTTTCCAATTCATCCCATGCTTCTTTGGAAGTTTCTGCCCTCTTTATATGGCTCAACTGGTTCTGCTTAACGCCTAGTAAGATTAATGCTAAAGCCTTTTCATCTTTTGTTTGCCAATCTATTCGGCCAGGATCGGTATCTGGTTTTTCTATGGATCCATTTACGTACGACCAAAGTTCATTGCAAACAAGTATGCTACGCATTTGTAGCTTCCACGATTCGTAGTTGCCATCATCGAGTTTATCTACATGCTGTGTCCCCACACTATTCATGGCGTTGCTCTTTGTTCAGACGGGTTATGCCTTTCGTAAGCAAACAAGTATATATCACTTACTTGAATCTCCAATTAGATGTTTTTCGTATGGTAAACCTCGATCATTAAACCCTTAAACCAACCACGCTCTGCTACCATGTCAGGGTTTGGATATAATGGAGGGTAATGTCGAAGGTAACACAAAGAAAGTGGAGAGAACTAGAAAGCGATGTCCGTTAGACCACAGCACACATTCCAAACTAAACTATACTGGACCAGAGTACAATTCCCTTGACGAACATAACAGACCCCACACATAGCAGAGGGGAGGGCGCGACGATCACAAAGACAAAGGTCACATACACAACTTTCTAACACTAACAAATATTTAATTATTTTTTTAGTATATAGTAGTAATAATAGCAATTGATCAAATTATAGGACAACTTACTTTTTATATCTTAAGAAACACTCCATTCTATATTCATTGATATTTGCTAATTATTAAGAAGCTTTTATGATTGAATGAGAAGAATTTCTCTTTGTTGGACATTGTTATAATAATGTAGTTATAAATCATTTTTCAAACTATAAAAAAAAATTAAGTTAAAAAATTAATCTAAATATTAAATTAATGAAAACAGGTTTGTAACTATTATGAAAGTTATTTATCATTGCAATTATACAGAAATACATTATTGAAGTAATGAAAATAACAGGTTTGTTATTACTGTATTATGAAAGTTATTTATTATCACAATTATACATTTTGACATATTATTTATTCTTTTTAATTTCCTTTGTGATTTGAAATGTTAGCAATCAAAACTGTCATAATAATTCAAACTATTCTCAGAAATATTTGAAAAAGAGCAGTATTGTAGCTATGTTCTTGGTAATTTAAAAACTCACATAAAAATAATAATGTGTTGTAAAACATTTTTTCTATCTAATGAGGTGAGAATATTCAATGAATATAGAACATCTTGATGCAAATCTGAGAATGTTTTGAAACAAATTATAAGAATTTTTAATATAAAGGGCAGAGATTTAATGAAATGCTAATAAAGTGTGAAGATTCTGCTAGAAAATGAACACTTTTCTTCAGCTTTTTTGGTACAGGTTTAATGGAAGATTGATCAAAATTAGAATAAAAAAAGTTGAGATAATTTAAAGCTATTAAATTCAGAAAATATATCCAAATATAAAGACAGTTTTTAACTAATTATTAGAAATATTTTTTATGATTTACTGTTAACTGTAATTGTTTGCTTGTATTATCATCATTAAGTGAAAAGCTTAATAATAAAATTGCTAAATTTTTAAAAAATGAGATGAAAAAAATTGAATAAAAATTTTCTTCTTGGTTATAAAATCAAAAAACAATAAGAAAAAATTATGGAATATCTTCCAGAAGCTGTTAATAAAATCAAAGTTGGATCACAAATCTTCTTTTAATTTGAAATTGTTCTGTTTATCACTTGTATAAAACTGTACATGGTCTTCTAGCTTCAGTCTCATTTATTGTATATTTTAATGAAATGTAATAGAAGTGTGTTATTGTCTGTTTCATTTATGTGATCAAACACTGAATGGTNAGTCAGTGGAATCTACATCATTGTGACATTGTATGAAAATTGGCAGGAAATAAGCTTTTATGCATGTTCTCTCATGGCTACTTAGAAAAGACATAGATCTGGAAAGATTTATTGAAAACATCTGAAAGTATCCATATATGTATGACAAGAGGTATCTTGATTATAAGAATGGATGCCTAAAACAAGCAGTATGGATGGCCAAAGGAAAATCCTTCAATTTAGATGGGTATATATTAATAATAAAAAAGCTAAGCATGTAAGTGCAGTATAATATCTTAATAATATGATATCTTTATTTTCATATATTAACTTTTATTATTTTTACTATATTTGTAATTATAGTACAAAAAAATCACAGAATATAATTGTCTTCATATCGATATATCACATATAGAACTGTAACTTTGATAGTACAATTGAAGTAAAAATTTTGCTAGTGGAGATGGACCTTCATCGCAATCCAAGCACAAATGCAAATAGCTTTAATCACGTGATTAAAAGTATTTATGGCAAAGGTTTTTACACTAGTGGAGTCTTGTCCTAATACTTTACAAGAAATGTTAACAATAATGATTTAACTTCAAGTCTTAAATCTGCCAACAATGCAATTATATATACTCAGATTACTTTATCTACACCCCATTCCTTTATCTTGTGGGTAGCCTTTGAGGTAGGACGAAGTCGTACCTCTTTTTGATTGGCAACAGTTTGGTGTAAACTGCCCACTGGTCAGTGAATGGCTTGTCTATGTTTTTCTATCCTGGAAAGTGGGGTTCTTTTGTTAGGTTGAGTGGAGGAGGTGAGAGGGATCATCGGTAAGACGTTGGTGATACTCGAGTAAAAGACACCATTTAACAACAAAACAAGAATTTATTGAACAACCACTTAGATAACATAGCTACATTGAGATTATGTCAAGCTTACACACTGAAGTGGATGGGCGCACATTGAGACAGAGTTTACAATATTCATTATCATACCTCTGGGGTTGTGATTACTGATTGACGTGACTGAGACAGATGACTTTTTCTACGGATGGCGATGGCGAACAGCAATTATGAACAGCGGGCAGGCGATGCCAGATTACTGTCATGTATGGTGATGATGGACCATGATCACGGACAGCAACATCAGACCCCCTTCTTCTGTTGTCACTCCTCTTTTATACCTCTAGTCATGAGTCACATTATCCCTTTTCACCAATCGCAAATTTTTTTGTGATAAGTTCTCTGTGATTCATTCTCAAGTTCCTGAGAGAGGAAATGGCTCTGGGGAAGGAAATGTGTTCATCCGTTTGTTATAAGATTTCAACATGATTTCGAAAGGGGAAAAATAGAGGGTTTCTTTGTTTAAATTTAATAAATATATTTAATTTAATTTCAGCTTGTTTATTTAATTTTATTTTATTCGGTCCGGCCCTCACAATCTTCTCCATCATCATGATGGATAGCTTACTTGTAAAAATTACTTAAGCAACTTCTTCATGCTCAAAAATTTTTTAAATTTATTTAAGAACTTGATAAGGATAGTTGGAAATTTATTATAACCTTTAGTCATCTATAATAAATAATACTATTGTAAAAGAAGAGCATAAAAATTATAATGTTTTAATTTCTTTTATAAAAGATATACATTGCTGCTGTTACATTAGAAAATATTGATAATATTTTACTTGAATTATGAATTATGAAATTATGATTAAAAATAATTGTTGTTCAACATATTTTTAAAATGACTAGAAAATTTATCAGTATAAACCTGAAATTGAAAACTAGATTTTTTGGTGAAAAGTACACAAACTTTACTCTCTGATTTTTTTTTGTCGTTTTTTTCTTTTTTTTCTTTCTTTTAATCTTGTCTGAAATACTTAATTGTCAAGTGTAAAACACTTTCTAATTGTGTAGAAATCTTAAAGAAAAACTGATTATATATTATAAATGTTATTAAATATAATATTAATTACTCTATGAACTGCATGAAGCAATTACATCCAAATGTTTCATTAATAAAAACCTTATAATTTCCTTTTTTTATAACTTCTGAGTTTGATTAATATAACATTTTTTATAATGATAAATTTTTATTTTAGGTCCAATATCAATATAAATGATGTACTAGGAGATTATAGTTTGACCTTGGTAGATACTTTAGATACACTTGCTGTAAGTAATTAACTTTTTTAAATATATTTTTAATATTGACTATTTGTTATCTGACTCTTACAACATGTATCATGTTGTAAGACTCATGAAGTTGAATAATAAATGATTTTTGTTTATTTATAAATTTTGCTAAAAAATTTCTAATTTACTAGTATAATTTCTATGAAAAACATTAAATGGATATTAAAATTAGTCATTCATAATTTTTATTTTTAAATTAAAATTAATTTAAAACATAATCTAGATTATAATTTAATATTTGTTTTTATAGCATTTTAAATAATTTTTTTAAGAATATTTGAATTAATACATTCTGCAGGAAATTGTTTTCAACATGTCACTTATTTTTAGCAACTATAAAAAACTGTAATATTTTTATTGGATAATATCCTAAGATATTGAATTATCAGTTGAATTTAGGATCTGTAATCCACTTTATGTAGTTTGTAATCAAATTAAGTGATTGAAACTTTAAGTTTGTATGTAAATTGCTAGTAAATAATTTCGTTATTAAATGAATTTTATCCTGTTATAAGCAAATGGTTTAGATTGAGACTTAAATATGTATACAGCAATTTTTTAGGCTTCAATTTGAAAAAATTGTAGACCTATAAATTCCCATTATCATCCATCTGTCTGTCTTTCCTTAATCTTGAGACTGGAGTCAGACAGATGAAAGTCAAGACCAGATATGGAAAGCTTAGGGCAGAAGCCCCAATTAACTGTACAGTGGCACCTCAGGATACGAACGCCCCAGCATACGAAATTTTCAGGATACGACATGAAATTCAAACATATTTTTGCTCCATGATACGAACAAAAACTCACCATACGACGTTACATTAGTTCGCAGCACCATTTTTTATTCACTTCTGTTCATTGGTCTCAGTCCGTGTGTTTGCTTCGTCATGAAAGGATCTCGCTCAATAAAGGAAATCTTGAGGTATTATCAGAAAGTGACTGATTTTATTGAAAAGAAACATCCCGAAATGGTTCACACTGGCCAAATTGCCGCTCGGAATAATGACATTTGCCTAAGTCATTTTAGAAACATTTTAAAAAGTAGGCAAAGCTGAACCTGTTTGGATAGACATTTTACCAAGCGACCTCTATCCAGTGAAAGTGCTGGTGGAAGTGAAGGAAAGAAAGCAAAAAGCAGTGAATAAAAATTAAAAAAGAAAAAAATTAATGTTGTTTTATTTTTAAGTTATTGTTACATTATGTTATGTAAGTTAAGTTTTTAGTATCATTTCCCTTCTCCCTCTCTTTCACCACCAGTTTACACCTTCACCGTCGTCTATCCTCGAAGGTAAAGTGCAAATAAAACTACATTTTTTTCATCAATTATTATTCTATTATGGTTATTTATATATTTAGAACTACAAAATGCATTTTTCAGTGTTTTCCTTACTATACTTTTTTTTTTTTTTGTACAACTTAGCTTTAATTTGAGTGTGTTTTGGTGTTGGAACGAATTATTTGGTTTTTCATGTAATCGTATGGGAAAAATGATTCACCTTACGACATTTTCATGATACGATCTTAGTTTCAGAACAAATTAATTTCGTATCTTGAGGTACAGTACCACTGTGTATGAACTTCCGATGCAAACCAGAAGAAGTCATGTTATTTCAATTAAAAGAATTTTCCTTGGTAACAGTGTCATTCCATCATCTATCTAACAGGAAATGTATGATGTACAGGGGTAAGACACTACTAATTTGAGATGGAGAGCATATATTTTAAATTAAATAAATTATAAAAAAATATGATTAAAAATTGCAGTCCAGCATTATGGTGATGTCACAATAAATAATTGTTTATTTTTAATTCAGTTGAATGATGTTGAGAGGAACAATAAGTGATATTTCCCTTATTCTTGTTAGTCACAAATAGCACTTTTCTTTTTATAGGCATTTGTTGTTTTTCTTTTGTCTTAACCTTTTTTCTTTTCAAATCTATTTATTTTGTTCAATGTTGCCACTCTGCTTTTCTGTCAGATATTGCCAAATTTTTTTTACCAACAAATGTGCTAATGATTGTGATTCTAGTATTCTGAATTGAACATTTTCCTTATATGTAAACATTAAATTTATATATAAAATTGCTCTGCTACAGAGCATTGTTATATTTCCAAAGCATTCAAAAATTCATATTAAATCAATTAAAAAAATCAGCTGTATATAAGAATATTAAATGTTTACAACTATTTATTATAAATGAACATATTAATGTAATTCAAATATGTACTGTACAGTTGACCCCCCTATAACATGGGTTCATAATGCAGATTCGTATATCGCAGCAAAAAAATTGCGACCGTATTCGTATAAAGATGCTAAAAGAGACTTTTAAAATGCGGTAAAACGTCATCACCGACTCGTGTCACAACAGGATTGATCGAATCTGGACCAATAGTGGATGAGCAACCGAACTACTTACACGCTACGGAGAGTTTAGGCGGGTAAGTTGACTTTACTATCGTCTGTACAGTATATAAATTAGGTACTGTAAGTCTAATACAGTACTGTAATTTTATACACTTCTTGTGAAAAAATAATTTCTTATTCAACGGCCATAAAAATTATTTCTATTAATGATGTCTCCAAAATTTAACGAATTGTTCGAAGAAAAATAACTTATCAGAAAACGCGCCCACTGTTTGGTGCGCCGCTCCGTGATGAAAAGTAGCTTAAGCAATGGCGTCATCAAACGGTGCACACTCCGTAAGTAATCCTACAATTTTTTGTTTACAGGATAGTTTATACAGATTATTCCCAAAAAATTATACATGTTTTGGAAATGTTGAGTCAAATTAGTCTAAAATCGATTAATTTTATGGAAGAAAACCTTTCAAACAGCCATAGTCCGTACACTGCACATGTACCAGGCTGTGATTGGCTCATGTATTTAAGGATTCCTACAACGTGAAATTCTTATAAAGTGGAACGTATCTACTGCATTATGGGGGGTTGACTGTATATGTATGTACTGTACCTATTTGCTGTTGAAATTTTATTTATGAATATTTATAAGGTGACATTGGTATTGCTTTTAGTTTAACAAATTATATTGTAAATATTTGCTTACTTATCATATTTTATGGTGTGCAACATTTGTCCAAAAAGGACTAAAAAAATTGACCTGAATCTTAAATATTGCAATCTTCTGTAGGCTAATGAATTCCTGAAATGGCCTTTATAAGCTTTTTGTGTTGAAATGACATGTCTTATCTGCTGTAAAATATGATATATTAGATAGAATTAACAACGATAGAGACTCAAATATATTTCCTTTCAATAAACTTATCATATTTCTTATTGTTGAATTTATTACTTCAGCTAACAATAAAATTATATTTCCTATCTTAGTTAGGAAGTTAAAATTGATGAAAGTACAATTTGTAAATTAATTTGTAACTTTGATATATTTGTTGTAGTTAATGTATAAAAGCATAAGGTTACAAATGGTCATAATTTCATAATATATCTTTATATATTTATCAGATAATGGGAAACCATAGTGAATTCAAACAAGCTGTGAGGCTAATCATTGATCATGTTTCCTTCGATAAAGATAATACTGTACAAGTATTTGAAGCAACTATCAGGTAAAGAAATTAAAAAATAAATAAATAAATAAAAACTTTAATTTTTTTAGTAATTGATTAATTAATTTTAATGTACTGTATATATCAACTTGTATATAAAATTTGAATGTTTTTTTATTATAAATTATTAATTTTACATTTTAGCATTTATTAATGTTTACATTTCTATATATATATATGTTTGTTTTTATGAATATTGAACTTTAGATTTATTTGTATAGTATCAATGACTTTTAATTCTTTTGTACTGTATATTATAGAAAGATATTGTAATTGTATCCTAGATATATGAGTTATTATGTTAATATAGAAATGCATAGTGATCATAATTAATGAGTAAGTGTTCAGAGCTTTTATAGAAAGAACTACTGGGCAAATCTCAATCAAATTTGGTTTACATATTCTCAAGAATATTCAGTTTCAATTTTCAGGAAAAAATTTTACTTAAAAATTCAGACATTAGGGCAAAATTTGATGGCATTGTCCCCTTAATGTATATATTACATATGTTTTGTAATGAATTTTGGGAGATAAGAAACAAAATGCAATAATTTTATTTCAATTACAAATGTAAAATGTGGGATTGACAATTACATCAAAGATATGTGCTCTCCATTTCCATGCTCTAAAAATTGCATTTTCTGCAAAATACAGGACAGTGGAATGCAACTGACTATGCAGAGTTGTTGCACATATGAAATTGACTTAATAAAGAACGCTCTTTAGGTAATTCCATAACCAAAAGTCACAGACATTCAGATCTGGTGATTGTGCTGGCTGTGACATTGGAAATGATTGGCTAATCATTCTCTTGAGTGAGCAATGTTGCAAGTAAGATCTGCTCATTTAAGCCAATATGTGGGGTTCCACCATCTTGTATATTGGCAAAGTGAACACCATGTCTGTTTACCTGTACAAGAATTGTAAAGAAAATTTTGCAACTCCTTTTATACCCAAAATTCATTAGAAAATGTAGTAATATGTACTATACATTAAAGGGCAGCAGTGTCAAATTTCATCCTAATGACTGAATTTTTAAGTAAAATTTTTTCCTGAAAATTGAAACTGAATATTTATGAGAATAATCATACTAAATTTGGATGAGATGTGCCTAGTAGTTTTTTGTAGAATTCTGAATACCTACTCTTTAATTATGATCACCCTGTAGGTATATAACAATATAGTGACAAATATAAAAACACCTTTACTGAAGTCAAAGAAGAAATACTTGTTTATTTCTTCTTTGACTTCAGTAAAGGTGTTTTACAAGGTCCTGGGGAAATCTGAGATAGAAAAAATGCATCTTAACTAAGTCTACAGACATTACACTTGTTACATTGCTGCCTGCTTACATGATGATGTGATTTTACTTCAAAAGTTTTTTCGACATTATTTAATGGGAGAAATTTTGTGTTGGCTTGAATTAAAACAAAATATTCACTTGTTTCCCACATTAAAATTTTGTGAATTAATGCATTTAAAAACCTTTTCTGAATTGTCTCAATTAAATAGCTAAATAAATGTTTTATGAAAAAATAATGTTTTTAAAATTATAGATTTATTGTAAAATAAGAAATATTAATGATGAAATATATTTTAAAACATCATAAAGATAGGATTGCATTTTTAAAATAATACTAATAAAAAATTAGCCAGAAACTCTAAAAATTTATCTTTTTTGCAAAAAATTACCCAACCAGCACCATTATAAATAAATTGTGCATTTTTGGATGTCAAAAAGTCAGTCATTCATGCTGTTGACTTTGATTTTTTTTATTAATCAACACATTACATACTACATGTTCTATACTGTAATGAAGAGACATACTTAAATTAAATCATATTTTTTTAATTAAAAAAAAAATTTTACATTAACTTATCAGTTTAATGTTGCATGGCAAATTACATAGAAGACCTATTTAATTTGAATTTTCCAAACTACATAGTAATAATTATTAAATTTTTTATGAATTGTTTTCTTTTGTACACTAGTGTGAAATAATTTTGGGAAAGTTTTGGTCTTGAAAATATTCTGCACCCCTGATTATTTTACTAATTCTTTGAAATGCTTAAAAAATCCTTCAGGAATAAAACCAAAACCAATGAAATAATGCATTATATGCATGGAGTAGCTATTTGAAATCCTCTAAATATTAAACTACTGTATAAGCTGCTCCATTATCTTCAATTAGGAATTAAAGCTAAATTTAGCATGCATGCATGAGTTTTGTTAAAGAATTTAATCAAATAAATTATTTGAAGGAAAGAATTTGAATTTCTTCAATTGGAAATCAAGATCCTGTTCTTAGTGTTGTGAATATATATATATATCCCAAAATAGTTTAGCATTTTTTGACTATTCTTATATAATTATTGAATTATTGATATATATATATATAATAATTAAGACTAATATAAAAATCTCTATATCTAGCCTAGCCAAAGTTTATTATTCTGATTGCTTTAGTTTATAGTAAACTTTGTTTTATTTATATTAAACTTAGTTATTAACCAGTTATGAAATTAAAATTGTCTAAATGATTATCAGTTATAATTTGAATTGTATATATATATTTGGAAAATATAATCGGAAGAAAAAATTTTTTTTAATTTTCTGTTTTTAGGATTTTAGGTGCTCTCCTTTCTGCTCATTTATTAATAGTTGATAATGAACAGCCTTTCGGAGATTTAGTTCCTGAAAATTATAATGGTGAATTGTTAGAGCTGTCTCGAGATTTGGCAAATAGGCTTTTACCAGCATTTCAAAATACACAAACAGGACTTCCTTATCCACGAGTAAGTAAAATGTTCCTATGGACAATCTAAAATGAGTAAAATGAAGTTTTTTATTTAATAGAAAAGGTTTAAAGAATTAACATTTTTTTTTTCATTCATTTTAAATATTGAATTATTTTCCATTTAATAGTTCTTAATTTTAAACATTTAAAATTTTCTCAAATTAGGATCAAAAATATATTTATAACTAAATTATACTGTTTAAATTTAAATATTTCTACATGTTGACTAAAACTATAATAAATAAAATAAATTGATCTCAATTGACCAGACAATTAGGATCAATTTGTTTTGTTTCTTGGATAAAATAGCCTGTTAAAAATGAAAAAAAATTATAATTTCTATGAAAATATTAATTCCTCATTTTCTACAGAGATTTTTTTAATTACTATGGATTTGTAATGGTTTGTTGTATTTGTGGTAATGTGTGATTATCTTTTGTTTCTGATTACAAAATAGTAAAAAGGCAATTGCAAATACTGAACAATGAACATGAGAAAGTGGAACAACTCTTTGTATAGCTAGTCATAACTAGGTTATGTTGTTATTTTAGAAATTACTTTGATTTGCTCTTAACAATTGCAGTTTTATAAAAAATGAGTTCACCAAAGAACAAACCTTATCATTTCCATTACGAATGGGAATAAAATACTTTTTATTATGGTATTAGATAAATACTGCTTTTAATTTAAAACACCTCAATTTTACAGTGAAAAAGAAATTTGAAATGGCATTGTAGTACAATAAATAAATATAGCTGTTACAGCATAATTTTGTCTTATAAGAGTGGTCAACCAAATAAACTTAAAAGTACCAATGATCTACCACACATTTTCATTTGACCTATGAAAATAGACAGTGACACTAAGTTGGCCAGACCTAATCTATGTTTTTTTTACCAGGTTAATCTTCGTCGTGGAGTTCCAGAAGATAGTGTTACACAAACATGTACAGCTGGTGCAGGATCACTTCTTTTAGAGTTTGGAATGCTCAGTAGATTATTAAATGATTCTATTTATGAAGTTTATGCACGCAATGCTATTAAAGCTTTGTGGCAATTCCGTGCCAAAAACACTGGTTTATTAGGTAAGAATTGATTATGAATATAATTAAAATTTTGTTTTTTATAAATATTATCCTTAGCATATGTGTAAATTTTTATAAAATAAAACTATTGTAAATAGCATAAAATTTGTAAATGTAAGAATTATAATGAATACATTCACTGGCACATTTAAGAGGATTTTTTAACTATGAAAATTCATTCTGTTAATATAAATATTTAATCTGAAAGTAGTTAGAATTAAATCAGAATTATTAATAATTTGTAGTTTTATATAAATTATAGTGCAATAAATATGTGTGAGAGATACATATCCAGACAATTTTCAAAATCAAGTTTTCTTTCATTGAATACTCTGGCTGTTCCATCTATTTTTCTATATAATAGATATTTTTTTGTCAAGTTCAGTTGTGTGGGACCCATAGACCTCTTTCTGCTCTTAGAGCACTAAAAGACCAAGGATGTTTATGTTATGTATTAACAATATTTATGTTTTTCTACACATGCTACATGTTACAACAGAGTTTTGTGTTATGTTGTAGATTATGAGCACTTTGAGTTTTGGATGTGGGCAATCTGGTAAGTGTAGTTGTGTGCAGTTATATTTAGTGTCTAGTGTCATCAATGTGTAGTTTAACTGTATTAATAAACTCTCCAATATATACAACAAAGTATAGGTGGCATTTAGTGAAGTTAGTTTGAAGTGTGAGGACCTAGAATAATAGATATTACTGAGTGCAACTATTATTATTATTTTTACAAAAAAAAGTTTGAAATATTTTGTAATATCTAAGTTTAAACTATTAGAGCATTAACTATCAGTTTCAAAGTACATTTTCTTTGTAAAAATAATAATTATAATTTTTAATTTTATGAATAAAAAAAATCATAAATGAAATTTTAATTAAAAGTATTATTTCTTAGAAAATAGTATAATTTTAAATAATGATTTTAGTTAACCATCAGTTTGAGATAACTTCTTTACAGAAAAATCAATACTCTAAAATACTTAAACTTTTAAATTCTCTTATCCAATATTTAGTAGTGTTAATTATCATCATTAATTTTTAGTAGTTTTTAAAACATTCAGAGGACTTAGATTTTAATTTTAAACAAAAATAAACATGGAAATAGCCAAAAATATTTTTTAAACCATAAAATAATTATTTTAATCCTTATGTTCAATCACACTTTTGATGTATGGGTGGAATCAGTCAATCAATAAAATTATCTAATAGTAATTCTGCATGTGTTTATAAATATTCATTAGATTATCCTTTTTTCTTATTCAAAATTTTAACAATATAATTTTATTTTAGTGCTGAATTTTTGGACTTAAAAATTTATTTTCAAAAGAATGTTAGAAGCTTCAATTCTGTTAATTTTCAGGATTGAACAAGTTTGAACCAAACAGTAACAACACATGTAGTTTGTAAATAGTTATAAGGTCTAGAAAAGTATATTATTTTTATAGAACATGAAGAATGACTCACCTTGTTCCAGGAAATGTGATAGATGTGCAGACAGGAGAATGGATTGGACGAATGAGTGGTGTTGGTGCTGGTTTAGATTCTTTTTATGAATATTTACTTAAGGTAAGAATAGAGTAATTTATAGTTTATTTAATACCTAAGATAAAATGATACATACAATTCACTTATATATATTATATAACAGCACATAAGAAAGTTAATTATAAGAATAGCAGAAAAGTTAATTCACTTCATTCATTTATATTTTAGTTGTTTTATTTGTACACTAAAACATTATTGTAGTCATTTTTAATCTGTCATACAAGTTTTAAAATTTTTTGTGTAATTTTCAAAATACAATTATTTATGAAATATATTATTTAAATTAACAGTAATTATTGGATAGTACTAAATATTTTAGGAACAAAAATGTAAATTATACCATTCAAAATGATGATGCAGCAGATTTTTTTATCACGCATTTTATTTTTCAGCAAAATATAAGTAATTTTCTGTATTGTTTGCCATGTTGGGACCATAAAATGTAATATCTCTTTAATTTCAAGCATCTTCATTGCATAGATTTAAAGAAAATACATACAAATGTGTTGTATTTTAAAAGAAATATTTAAAATTTTAATTACATTCTAGTATACTCAAAGAAATTTTTGTAAGATATAACCAAACACTTATTCATTAAACTAACACATAATTACAGATTATTTGAAATTAAAGTTACATTTACTAGATAAAGTCGACTCTTTTGTTCAAGTATCAAGTATACATTTCATAATAAAATTATATATTGATTTCATCTTACAAATAAAGAATTACTCTATATAAAATATTTAACTGCAAATATAATACTAAACTTTCATCATTTACATTAGATATCTTAAAATGATGATAATTTATTGTATATTTTTTTATTTAGGTATATATTTTATTTGGAGAAAAAGAAGATTTTCATATGTTTAATGAAAGTTATGACATTATCAAGAGATACTTGAGGAAAGGGTAAATAAATCTAATTTTGATTTAATCCACTTAATTCCTTTATTTGGCATTTCATATCATAATCATTTTATATAATTTATTTTAAATTTTCAACTTAGAATAAATTTTTGATTCTATTACAGTTTTATTTATTTTTACAAATATTTCAAGCTATGCTTTAAGGAATATAGTGGCTACACACTATTTAACAGATCCATAAATTTGAATATAAAACAAATTGACTAAAAATGAATAACAAGTCATAAATATACAAAATAAAACAAAATTGTTACTCAACAGTATTATACAATAATTTTTTACAATAAGTTTTCTACTTTGATAATGGATTGTTGAAATTTACAAAAGAAACTGTGTTTAAAATTAATAGTCTGAAAAAAGGAGTAAAATTTTTTATTTGTAGAAAGTATTTACTTTAAATTTGTTAAAACTGAATTTGGTCTATTGTATTTAAATTCTAAGTGAATGTTATTTTAACTAATGTTGATCATATCTCTGGGTCAATAAAATGTTAAATGCTATGAATTTAAAAAATTCTGAATTTTTCTTATTAAAAAAGTTCTCTGAGAAATACTTTCTAATAAGAGCAAAATTATATTGATATTTGAATTCAAATGAGAGTATAACTTATTTTGAAAATTTTAAACAAACATAACCTATTGCTACAGTCTGTTTCAAAATTATAAACACACCCAACTTTTTTCAATAACAAAAACATTAAAAATAGTAATGTATTTATTATATTATTATGTTGTTTACAACATCACGATAACTAAAAATTTCAGAAAATGTTTATCTGACAATTACAATTTTTGATTGTTTCAAAAGTATAAATACAGTATGATCATTTTTTTTATTTATTAATTATTGGTTTAATTAATTGTTACCAGAAGGTAGTATCATTCATTATTACGAATGTGGCACCAATTTTAAACAGTATTTTGTGATTTAAAACAAAGCCTTGTGGAAAAACACTAAGAGAGTTGGAAATACATAAAATTTACCAACTAGAAGGAGCAGGACAATCTCTAAGACAAATTTCGGCAGCTGTAAATTGATGTACATGTGCTGTGAGAAATGTGTTAATTCAGGGTGAAAATTATGACAGAAATAAGCAATATAGAAGGCCTAAATTCCTTACACTTAGGAATGAAAGAAAGGTTTTTCGGTTACTGATGGTCAACAAGTTGTCTGTCAGAGAATCAGCATCAACATTGCCAACTGCAGTTTCACCAACAACTGTATGCATAATCATAAAAATGACAAATTTACAAAAATGGCTGTCAAACCGAAATGAACACAATTGCATAAAACAGCTTGATTAAAGTAAGCCAAAGACAAGATGGCATGGAAAGAGAAGTTGAAACAAATAGTCTTTTCAGATGAGAAAAAAAATGGAATTTGGATGGACCTAACAGTTATAGTCATTACTGGCATGATTTGAGGAAGATTGAAGAAGTCAGAATGAACAGACAGTAAGGTGGAGGCTCTGTGATGGTGTGGGCATAACAGACATACTTTTCTGAATTCATTCTACCTTCTATAAATACTTTCAAGAACTGTTGTATCAAAATTTAATAACCTTTGGATCACTTATTTGGCAAAAAAAACTGGCAATTCCAACAGATAATGCTGCCATTCATGCATCAAAGTCAACTATAATTTTTTTTCAGCAAACCAATTTTATGTAATTGATTGGCCATCATGGAGTCCTGATATGAACCCAATAGAGAATGTTTGGGGCATTATGAGTTATCTTGTTGGCCAAAACAGACAATACAACACAACACTGTAAATGAACTGAAATTAGCTATCATGGATTGTTGGAAAAATGTTAAACAATATCAGGTGTACATTTTACTAGTTTTTGAAGTTGTTAGAGTATTTGAATTAATTAAATGAAATGGTGGACCTACAAAATATTGAGACATCACAAATCGTTTTTTTATGCACATGTGTTTATACTTTTGAAACAATCAAAAATTGAAAATCTATGATAATTTCTTGTAATTGTCAGATCGATTTAAACATTTTCTGAAATTTTTAGAGCTATGTTGTAAACAACATACTAATATAATAAATACATTACTATTGTTAATGTTTTTGTTATTGAAAAAAGTTGGATGTGTTTATAATTTTCAAATGGACTGCACATAATGTTTAACATTAATAAGTAAACTATTTTCAGCCGTCCACACTGCAATAAAGGTCATGGTGAGCATCCACTTTATGTGAATGTAAATATGCATGATGGGTCGACTCTCACACTTTGGATTGATTCATTACAAGCTGCCTTTGCTGGTGTTCAGGTAAGAATTTTCATTTTAATTACTTGAAAATTCACATATATAAAATAAATTTTTAAATGCCAAAAATAAATTTCAGGTTCTTAATGGGGATATTGAAGAAGCAATTTGTGCACATGCACTATATTATGCAATCTGGAGACGTTTTGGTGCATTACCTGAACGTTTCAACTGGCAGAAAATTAGCCCAGATTTATCATTCTATCCTCTCCGTCCTGAACTTGTAGAGTCAACTTATTTATTATACCAAGCAACAAAAAATCCATTCTATTTTCATGTAGGAAGAGATATTATATACAGTTTAAATAATTATACCAAAGCAAAGTAAGTATAAACTAAATTTACAATTATTGAGAAGAACCTTATTTTATTGAAGTTAAAAAAATTCTTTAGAACTTTAATTTCTTTAAATTTTAATATTAGCAAAAAGTTTTTTTTTTTTGTGAAAGTAAACTGTATAGAAATAATTTTTATTTAAAATGGCATGCTTTCTTTTCTTTTAACATCAAAAGATAATAGAAAAAATAATTATTTCTACTCTCTTTGTTTAATTCTGATTGTTTTTTATTATTGATATTTTTGGATGATTATTTTAGTTATATACAATGAAATAAAATAAGTGATGACAGTTTGGATTTGGATGTTGAAAGCTTGATAATTTGATACATAAAAATGCTAGTTTCAGCAATTTCAACTCTTAATAATTAAATAATGTAAAAATAGTTGCTAATGATATGTTTATCTTAATGCAATGTTTATTTATTTGAAGATATTATCTAAAATAGCAAAGTTGAGAAAATTAAAAAAGAAATATTGAAAATAATAATTTAAAATACTCTAATTTTTTATATTTTCATGAATTCTGAATTATTTAAACTAACACTTATTACTAGTGTTTAGAATTCTTACCTTTTTAGATATAAAATAGACAGTGTTTGCATTCTAATTCTCATTAATTCTTACAGATGTGGTTATGCAACTATACATAATGTCCAAGATAAAAGTCTAGAAGATCGAATGGAAAGCTTCTTCTTAAGCGAAACATGCAAATATTTATATTTAGTAAGTATAAAACATATTGAAAATAAAATTTATTGGAATTTTCTGAAAAATCCTGCATCACTATCAATGGTTTTGGTATATCTATCCATTGTCTTATTTCATTACATGAAAGTGATTTTCAGCATATAAATTTTGATTAATTTATCTATATAAAAGTTACTTTGAATACAAATTTAGAATATAATAAATTTTGATATCCTGCATTATTTTTTTAATCATCAAAACATAATTCATTTAAAATCTGTACCAAAAATCATTAATGAAAAGTTTGTTAGTGCAAGCAGTTATGTGCAAGCATTATCCATTTGATAGATCAATTTAGTGAAAGGTATTGTAATCAACATATTCTGATTTTCATAGATCACTTTACTGAAAAAATAAATCAAATTTATAAGTCATCCTTTTAACAACTCATTGTAAAGCTTTCTTTAAAATTTTATCCTTCTCTATTAGATTCTGCTTTTGTTTTGACATCAAAGTCTGTTATGCAATGCTGTGTAAAAATAAAGCAAATTTTTTCTCCTTTTTTTCTTCCTCATAAATTTCATACACTATGTACTGTACAATAAAATCTTAATTAACTGAGGTTCTGCATTATTGGACACTAACCTGTATGTGAATACACTAAATTTTGTATTTTTATACTATAATTCATAAAAGAAACTTTAAAAAATGTATTATAAAATGATTTGCTTCACATTGAAGTTAAATGGTAATGGAAACAAACCTTTTATATCAAAATGTAACAATAATAATACACATTTTTACTCTTAAAATTATTGCATATACAGTAGAGCATCGATTAACCGACCGTTCTAGTCGGCAAATTTCAAATGTCTGCTAGTGATGTGGCACTATAATATTTGGCTATGTCTTGGCTACTTTAATATTATTTTTGTTAAATTTTTGCGTGTTTTAGCTGGCAATACTGGCTCGACTATTGAAGGGAGGCCAGTATTTAAACGAGACTTAATTTTCTAATTATGAGTGGTTGTTTGTTTTGTGAGCAATAAAATAATTTAAAAATAATTTTTAACAATACAATAGTGACGATTATTATTTTTTTTAAAGAATTTGTTAGGCTTAACATCAATGAAAATTCACTGCAAAGTCGGTTAATAGCGATATACTAATTATATGGGATATACTAATATACTATACTAATAATGTATTTTTTTTCATTCTTTTCGGTTATCCAATTTTTCAGTTATCCGACCAACCTGAGTCCCCAATTGAGTCGGATAATCGATACTGTAAAGTAAATGATGTAAAACTTATTCTTACACATGATTTAAGTCTCTTTTTACACTTTTATATGGTATCACTTTGAATTTAATCTTTTTATGTTTGTAACTTTTGATCTGAAATGGCTATGACAATCCATTTTATGCAAATTAACATTGGTCCATCTTGGATGATAAGGGTTCTACCGTGTCAATATTATTTCTCAATACATATGTTGCTGCACACAAAAACATCTCCACCTTTAGTGTAAAAATTGATTAAATTGAAATTAAGATGAAATTACTAATTTTTATCGTGTTTGATCTTATAATAGAGATTTATTGATTATTATGATGTAGATATTAAAAGTTTACATTATTAATGGTTAAATTGACACACTCGTTTTACAGACATGTATCATAAAATTATATAATATAATTTATTTTTCATTCTTTTAGGCCCCGAACACACTACAATATTTTTGGAATGAAGTTGAGAGTTAGTAAATTGCATATGCAACTTTTATCATCTTGCTCAAAAACTATAAGATATTGTGCATAACTTGATTTCAAAAACAAAGCTCAATCTATGTTGAAAATATGTGCACCACTGCTTGCAATGGCGCACATATTTTCAACATGATTTCAAAAACAAAAAGTTTAATTGATGAGGCATACAAATATAGATTTGATTGAACTAGGAGAGTGCCCAATCACTTACCTCTATATCAGTGATTCCCAAACTTTTTCGATCCACTGCCCCCTTTGTTCCATATAGTTATACCCAACGCCCCCTAACCCATTTTCTCGTGTGTGAGAAAGGATTGGAAATATTCTTAGGAGAATTTTTCTATGAAGCTCACACTGTGCCTTTACCATACATTGTTCTCAACATCTGGAAACCATTGAACTCAATGTTTCCTCTTATCAGTTTAACAGAGGAAAGGGAACGGCTTTCAGTAACCCCAATTTTGCCTTTGGTCATCGTTAAAATACCCTGCCTCCAACGCCCACAAGGGGGCGTTATTGCCCACTTTGAGAAACGCTAAACCTATCAAAATGGTCTCCTATGGTAGACCATCCAGATGGTTAATAAAAAAATAAAAATACATGTGCTTTTTTCTTTTGGCACAGCCATATTTATCAGTCATTACTAGATTAAGTATAAACATTGTCCTTTGTCAAAGATGATCATTGGCTGGTTTACATGCAACCAGTCACATACAATCCATGCAATAAAAACGACAGGAAAATTTTACTTTGTTTGGGTCAGATTAGGAATGAACTACAATAAATATACTCAAGTATATTTTTTCTTTCATGACTTAAGTAATGCTATAAAAGTTTTTTTTATGATAAAACAAACCAAATATTTGGCTATTTTTGAAATTATTTTACATAGTATTAGTGATAAGTAAACATACTTTGGTAATTCTTGAATTATTTTTCATATGTTTAAACTAAACTTTTTTATATTGTGTGTATGTAATTTTAAAAAAGATATTATTGGCACTATGTTACTCCTCAAATTATCATCTATAAAAATTTTATCAAAAGCATTGTAATTGATAAATCAATCCAGCATTTCTCAAGCACCAGTAAATGTCTGAAAAATTTCTAAGTTATGGGACATATTGTTAGATTTATTATATTATAAATGGCATATAGTTTGAATATGTTCAATTTAATTAAAGAGTAAAACTTTGTTTAATAATTATCACCAAACAAATAAATAATATGATATAAATTAAAAGTAACATAATTAAGTCTGCCTTCAGATCACCTGTGATAGCATCAGGGACCACAGGTTGAGAAACATTAGATTAATCCAAACTTTGTAAATGGTAATTGTAAATTTAATAAATTATATTCTATCAATTAAATATTTAATTGAGCATCACATATATAAATGCTTGCATATACTATAGTTCTAAAAGCATATATTTTATCGTCATGATGATTACTTATAATAAATTTATGCAATTGAAATGCATTTTTTATTTCTTCATTTTTAGACTGAATTAGTAAAAAACTGCAAACAAATTTGGCTCACTTTTTTCAAAATGATTACTTGAAGATGTTATGTATATCCTAATTTTCTACACTAATTTGATCACCAGACACTAAAAATGTTTAATAATGAAAAATGGAAGCAATAAAATTTTATTGCAGACCACAGTTTGAGTAGCACTGATCTAGCCCAATTTATTACACAAAACCTCTAATTACTGTATTTATTAGTATTGGACGATATAAGATGACACCTAAGCATGTTAATAATTATCTAAAAGATTTCAAATCTACATCTGCATTTTACCAGTTAAGCTATTTTACAGACGAGACAATAATTGTCTAGTTAATGAAATTATTAGCCCAAGAAATCTGGCAATTAGATATTTATGTATCATACTAATAATATAAATTTTTTTTTTGTATTAGTTATTTGATGTGGATAATCCAGTCAACAAGATGGCAATAAACTATCTTTTTTCAACGGAAGGTCATATTTTTCCAATTCACTGGAAGTATCGTACAGATAAATTTGAAATGTTGGGTAGACCAAACAAAAAACCAGTTATAGAAGATAAAGTAAATTTGATATCCAAAAATTCAAAATCAGTTAACAGTACTCAATTAAATGTAAGTTTAGTTTATATATATATATTCTTTTTCTCTTACATAGTTTATTATTTATATATATCTTTTCTTTTTATAGTGTGACAAGATTCCTGAAGAAAGACAGTTTTTCCTTCCCCTGAAGCCTCAGTATCTACTACAAGTGAGTCGAGCAATAGGACTTGATAATTAAACAATTCAGTCATATAAATGACAGAAATGCATTTTGGCTTTTAAATTCTCTCTGGTAACATTCCACATTGAGCGGCCATATCATTCGTTAAGCGGATGTGAGAATGATTATTTTATATCTTGTAATTTAAGAATTTAAAAATGCCATATGTTATCAGAATGAAATACCACTTGTGCCAGTTTGAAAGAAAAAAAATTGTTAAACTGCCATTAGCATCTTTACTCTAGATACATCGAAGATATCTTTATTAAGTTTACTATTTTGTTGTAATTTATATTTTATGAAAGAATTCTTTTGACAAAGTTATCAACGTATGTCCTTTAAAATTACACGTTCCGTAAGTAAATGTACATATAAAACGTAACAAATTTTAAAGGACAACATACAAAACAGTGTCTTCCATATTATTCGAATACATTTTTCCCTTTTACGTTTCGACTCTATGTCTGGAGAGTTGATTTTCTTTATTTATTGTTTTAATACTTTACAGTCTCGATACAAGTTATGTCATTTACCTTTCAACATTGTAAATTTGTAAAGCATTCCATAAAATGTGTTTTTAAGGGGGTGACTAGTCATTAAGAAATACTATATTAAAATTAAATTATTTCAAGTAAAACAAAGTTTACTGTTAGCTTATAAAGGCATGTTTATATATACTTTATATGTGTAAAATTATATTTTTTTGGGAATTAAGAAAGAATACCTACAAAATAATTCAAATATCTTTTAGTTTTGTAAATAAAAAATTTGCAAACTGATTTTTCTTGTGTGTTCATGTATAGAATTTTATATTTGACAAACAAACTAAAACAATGCAACATTCTGTAATCCTTAAAAACTTTGTATTTACTTCTCATTAATTCTGACAGATTGCAGATAAAATTCAGAAAAAAATGTATTTTTACTTAACACTGGGGCAAATTATTAAAGACAACATATGCCAAATACTATACCATTTTGCTGCCAACAATGCTAGAGAGAGTGAACACTAGACAATATTTTTCTCATGCAGCCAGTCATGATACAGCATTTTTAAACAAAAACAGATGCTTCTATTAAGAAACCAGGTAAAACTAATTAACAACTACATCACAGTGTAAATAAAACTCATCCTATAATGGTCAAGGAGCTGCATTTTATACACCTACCAAAAGAACTATCACTTATATAAAAATTGAATCTTTCCTCATCAAATACCAATTATAAAACATAAATTTTATTCACTTACTATCATAAAAGTACACTTACTTCAATAAAACTACCATGCTAATTTCAGATTATTTTCCAATGTGTTTTACCATCTTGGCCATGCTATTGATCTTGCTCAACAAATTCTTCAACCTGGGAAACATTGAGGAAATTCCAGACATCTGTATAGTAGTGGTGTGATGTACAGTACATTCTTGTTAAAGGGTATATCCTTTTGTGTCGTCATAGTTTAACTGTGAAACAAGAATTTTCCAGCATATCTAAATACATGATAACATTGGTAGTTCACATATGAAAAAAGATGCCCTACACTATCTTTGCTAATGTATACAAAACACACTCACCTTTAGACTGTCATGCACACGTTCCACCTTTGCTTCTGGATTTTAGAAACCAAATCTGCAGCTGTGTCTGTTCACTGAGACAAAATACCAACTTATTTCTGAAGATGTTCCAGGAATGTCAATTCAATGCAGCATCATTTCTGCATAAATTCCTAACTAGACACATCTGCATTAGTAATTTTTTTGCAGTATTGCAAATTTGTACAGTTGTAACTAAGCATTTTTGTGAAACTAGCCAAATGGTTAGTTATGAAATGCCAGTTTCATGAGACATGGTCAATTGACTTACTAGTACAGTAATACCTTGATTTTTGTTGACTTTGGTTATCTCCAGTTTCAGTTTATGTCAATTTTTTTGCAAAAAATTTGTCTCGGTTTTTGTCGGTTGCCTCAGATTTCATCGGCGTGCCCACGTGATCTCGCTGCTAATTTTGCAAAACCACACATTTTCTTGCTCAGTGTGACGTTTCTCGTTGTGTGAGCATTACCCCGCACGTCTAGCCAAACAATGGGCATATTGAAAATTTCAGTGTGCAGCCTCTTAGCACCTCTTTTCCAAATCTCAGATGACTTCCAGTTACTGCCAGTGTGCTTCCAGCAAACTGCAAGTGTTTTTTTCGGTACTCAATACACCAGCAAACAAGATGGCAGCCATCACGAGGCTCGTAAGAGCTCTATTTTCCATTGACAATTTTGAATTTAATTTGTTGATGAATAAACTCTGAATAAATTAGCATTCTGTTAGTACATTAATAGAATATTTTAATATATTTACATAAGATGCCACATAATTTTTTTTTAGTTGTTAAAGTGTAATCTTAGGATTAATTTAATTATTTAAAACACAGTAGAGCATCGATTATCTGACTCAATTGGGGACTCAGGTTGGTCGGATAACCAAAAAGAATGAAAAAAATACATTATTAGTATAGTATATTAGTATATCCCATGTAATTAGTATATCGCTATTAACCAACTTTGCGTTGAATTTTCGTCGATGTTAAGCCTAACAATTTTTTTTTTTAATAATAATTGTTGCTATTGTATCTTTAAAAATTATTTTATTGCTCACAAAACAAACAACCATTCATAATTAGAAAATTAAGCTTCATTTAATACTGGCCTCCGGCCTCCCTTCAATGGTCGAGCCAGTGTTGACAGCTAAAACACGCAAAAATTTAACAAAAATAATATTAAAGTAGCCAAGACATAGCCAAATATTGTAGTTCCACATCACTAGTGGACATTTGAAATTTGCCGACTAGAACGGTCGGTTAACCGATGTGACAATCGGGGGTCGGATAATCGATGCTCTACTGTATTCATTTTTCATTAAGCTGGTCTCATTAAATAAGTTCAAAAATAAATTTAACATAACGTGGCAGTCCACATCATTCACCATTTTTATTGTTTTTCTCTCCCGAAATTTGTGGCAGTCAGCATTTATTCTCTAGAAAACGCCAGCAGTTGTGTCACTTCTGGCAGCATCTCACTGGATTGATGCTGAGATTTTGAATATGCTCAATTCCATTGCTTTCCTTTCCTTTTAGCTATATCATGGGAAATGCCATGTTAAATGTTCATTTATTCTTTATATTAGTCTTTTATATTCATTTTATATTAATTTCTTATTGTTTTTAGTATTAAACACTATATTTATTTATTCTCTATAAAATGTGTTTTTGGTATGTATTTTGGAGTGTCTAGAACAATTTAATTGAATTTACATTGATTCATATGGAAATAATTGCCTCAGTTTTCAGATGGATTATTGATGAAAACCGAGGTATCACTGTATTACGAACAAAGCTAACCCCCACTTGTTCCACAACAGAATCAGAAATGTGGCCAGCCAAGGGATTTGTCATAGCAAACAGAACTGGTGCCAACAGTAAACTATAGATCTACTTGTAGAATCTCTACAAATAAGGTTCCATTATACCAATGTTGCAGATTTTGTTTCCTCAAACCAAAGCACACAATGAACACGCCCTTTTTGAAATGTGTGTCAGCAATGAAATTCAATACAATAGAATTACAAGACAAACTTGATATGCTTTGTTATAAATTAATGCATGACCAATTCTGAGTCTTCAAAGTTCAAATTTGAAAACATGGAATTTTAAAGTCCTTTTTAATCATCCTGTATTATTCCACATTGAAAATTTTTCAATGTGGAATAATACAGTTAAAAAGTTAACAATATCAAGTAAATTTTGTAAATGCTGTACAGGTAACCCCTGTATAACATGGGAGTTACGTTTCAAAAAATTACCGTGTTATGCAAATCCATGTTATGCGAAACAAAGAACTAGTGTGAAAAGGGGGGTTAGGTTCCAAAAATTAAAAAACTAAACATTAAAAAGGAATCTATAATTCTAAAATGAGCTTTTAGAGGCAAAAGAAGGGTCCCAATTGTAAAATTTAACCATTAAATGGATTATTTGTTGAAAGAGCATTCAAAGTAGCCACAAAAACAATTAGAATGATTGCGCGGAGGTATAAAAGAATGCACCCTTTATTACATTTCATGTTGTATGAGGGTTTTTCCAATTCCTGAACCGTGTTAGAGTGAACCCGTGCTATATGGGGATGTTCCCAATTCTCGAACCGTGTTAGAGTGAATCCGTGCTATAGAAGTGCCATGTTATACGGGGGTTACCTGTATTTAAAATTAATTTTAAAATTATTTCTGAGTTTTGATTCATTTACTTCAAAGAAAATCAATTACATCTGATACTGCATCAAAACTTAAAATTAACTAAAGTATGTTTCAAAATTTTGTTATTGTGAGGTTTTTAGGTTATTTGAACGGGGGATGGTACCAATTCTCGAACCGTGTTAGAGTGAATCCGTGCTATAGAAGTGCCATGTTATACGGGGGTTACCTGTATTTAAAATTAATTTTAAAATTATTTCTGAGTTTTGATTCATTTACTTCAAAGAAAATCAATTACATCTGATACTGCATCAAAACTTAAAATTAACTAAAGTATGTTTCAAAATTTTGTTATTGTGAGGTTTTTAGGTTATTTGAAAAATATGTCATTCATTCTTCATATGGTTAGACCACGAGTGAACAAGTAACTGATAGTATGGATGGCTGTAAGCTGTTGAAAAGCTATGAATTTTTGGGTGGAGGTAATCCAGGTTTGTTATCTGTAAAGAAAGGTTGTTTTGGTTTTGTCTTTGTACATTTTTACTGTAGTTTGCAAGGAAATGGAACTGAATTTCAATGTTTTGTTTAGCTATTGGTGATAAAATAGGGCTTGAATTTTTCTCTGATTTGAAAATTGTTTATCTCACTTATAGGTTTTAGCAAATATGTTGAACAATGAAATGGAGAAAAAATGAAATCTATCAATTTAATCAGCCATAACATCAAAAGAAATTTATTTTCTTCTGATGCTATGGCTGATTACAGATTTATTCTAACAAAAAACATGGGTTGCTACTGAAATAAAAGTTCCACCAATAAAGTAGATAAAACTATTGAACGTTGATCAAGTGTAAAACTTGTAACCAATGAGTTAGCCATGTGGAGTTTTTCAGATATTTTACATGTCTAATACCTAAATGCAGGTCAGTTCAGATAGAAATTCTCCCAAGAGACAACCCTCCTCAGAAGATTGATTTGATGGTAATGCAACACACAGACAATCAATAAAAAGAAATTTACATAATTTTTTTATATTGCCAGTTCTCTAATATTTCTGTAATTTCCTAAACCTGAGATTACATGGAAGAAATTATTAAAAACTGTAAGTTGTTATAATAAATCTACTTTCTACAAATCAGTGATGATCTATTCTGGATGACAAGTTCTCTATTTTTAGAGTAAAAGTGATTTTATCACTTCTGTGATTCAATTTTTACAAAAATTTCCTACCACAAGTCATTGACTTCTCAATAGGCTTAACAATTAATAATTTTATCATTGCAAATGCTATTTAGTTGCAGAACAATTAGTCCTTCAATTTTGTACAAACAACATTTTAGATTTAATTGCAAAATAAATTCTTTAATGTTTAGGATACATGATCAACTAAATTTTTATAAAGTAATGATAGATAATATGGCAAATGGTTATTTAGTATGAATACAATATGATTTCATGTAGTATTAAATGCAAAGAAGCAATTTTCATCAATGTTGTATCCTGAATAATTCATTTAAATCCAAACTGTAAATTATATACAGTACCTATCTTTTTCTTGAACAAGTGTTTAAAATATAAAACAATCATATTTATCATCATTTACAATTTTCTGAAGAGAGAGAGTTAAGTCCAATATATCAATAATCAAAAAGCTTTGATAAATACTGAAAATTATCTAGTGCTATGCCAATATCCAATATAGCAAACAAACTAATGTTTAAAATATTGATATTGATATGATAAATATAGAATATCAATATTCTAGATTTTATCTAGAATATATTAATACTCGATAAATATCGGAACCAATTAAAATGTAACAAACTTAAAATTATTATTATTACACACATGTCCAAAAAACAAGCAAAATCATTGATTTGGCCAAATGATCAGAATAACATGAAACTTAACATCAAGCAGAACATTGTATTCTTTCAATTGTTTTATTGCTTAAAAAGTTTTAATGTAAATAACATCAAACCAAAAACAAAAAAGTACGAAGAATCTCAATATTTTCTGTGCGTAAAAGATTTACAAGTTTGGTTGCCTCTTGCACGCATACATGTGTGCAAGAGGCTTGTAAATCTTTTACGCAAAATTTATTTTACATAATTGGTTCCCCTATACTGTATACTGTTGCCTTGTAGTTTTATATTTGTGACAACATATGCAGATATAAAATCTTTAACAAAATTACGTATAATCCATAAACAATGATTAAATAACTTTTAAATATACAAAATCCACAACTGATCTTCCTGGAATGCAAAAATAGTTTCCAATATACATATTACAAAGTATTACAGGTCGTTCCTATGCAACACAAAAAGGCACTTTGGTTCAAGTTTGATTTCAAACTCACTTAAAAATTAGATGTCTTCAATCACTGCAACAGAAACAACAAAGAGCCATGCAAAGAGCACACAAACAGCAGTCTCGAGCACAGTCGTCGTCTTTCTTCTCTTCTACGACTACGGTGGTGACGGCAAGTGACCGGGTGGAGAATAAGTTCCGCTGGGAGGAACCTGAGGCGGATAGACTCCCGGCAGAGGAGGACCAGGAGGCGGATAGTAGCCGCCGGGATTGCTTCCGGGAGGATAGCATCCTCCGGGCGGCGGAGGTCCAGGCGGATACTGTTGGTACGGAGGAAGATAACCACTCATGTTTAGAAGAATAAAATGGGAGGTTCCAACTTTATATCCTTAAAGCGCTAAGAAGTAGCAACACCCACAAGTGTCTAAGGGGAGTACCGTATTGCTGGTTATAACACTTATCAGCAAAATTCAGTCTTGAGCAAGAGCATCTCGAAGCTCCTGCAGTGCTTTTGGTGGAGCCTGACAAGATGCAACATGAGCATCCCACACATTCTATGGAATTTAGGTCTAGAGGTTTTGCTGACCATTCCATGCAATAAATATCTTCACTGTCAAGAAAGGGCCTCACTTGTCAATGATTATGTATATGGACAGTATCATCTACAAAGTAAAATTGCACCTTCATCATCTAATATGTGATTCCAAAACCTTAGCTGTACTTTTTCATAGTAATTACATCCTTTACAAAAATGTAGAGCTCAGTAACCCAGACCATTATACCACCATCTTCCAGCTAGTCTCTCTCCGCAATATTTGTGAGTGTATTGAGTTTCCCACTCTCCAAATTCTACAAAATGATTCTCATCAATTAGACTGTATTTGGATACGTCAATGGAACAAAATATTGCATTTATTGATTTATTTATTTAATTTTAATTATTAATTTACTTAAGAGATGGCGCCTAACGTCTACCTCTAGTGTCAAATTACTATATTCCAATCATTTAATTAGCCGTATTATAGCCCGATATTTAGGCGATTGTTTGGTGATGTATTGCTCCACTCATTCAAAGTCCAATTGTTGTGCCTGACACCATCTTAAGCAGGCTTTTCTGTGCACAAGATTCAATATAGCAATGTACTGGACATCAGACAGACTATTCACCTGAAGTCTTCCATAGACCATTTGTTATGAAACTTTAGCAATGGTAGCTGTAGACAGCTAACAGACATTCTTGTTATGGCACATTAATAATGTCAAAGGACAATCCTGTTGAGAGGTAATAGCGAGGTTGTGGCCAAAGTTTTCATCTCTAAAACACAAATGTTGAATGTCACTTAAAAGACAGCAGTGATCAATGCTCACGTTTTAGAGATGAAAACTTCAGCCGCAACCTTGCTAATATCTCTTGGATGTCCACTTCCTGGTTGACATCCAACATATCTTGTTCTTTGAAATCTGGCCCAAAGACTGGATGTGGCACATTCAGAGTCCTAGATATGTCTGCAACTGGCTGCTTTTTTAGCCTTTCAATAATTCTTCCTTTCATAAAATTAACTGTGTGATGTCTTGTGGCTTATCACTGTCGGTATCATACAGTAAAACAAAAATAATCATTGATGATTAAACCACAACAGAAATATTGCCATATTTATGGAGCCTACACATTTTGCACTTTTTAATAGAACATTCAATTACTGTACTGTACATCCTGGTTATTATTATCATCATCATCTGAAAACATAAAAGTAAATAGATAATAGAAAATTTATGTCTCTTTCTTGCTCTATGAATTGGACAATTATGCTTGTTTCTTGGGGGTGAATGTACAATGTATATTCAGTGTTGTGGTTATCCTCTTCCTTCTAACATCTTATTTCCCATAGAACTTTTGTTTTACCAATCACACTTTTTTGGAACATAGGCAATTTTTATCAACTATAAGAGTTGTATGTAGTTATAATGAAGATATTAAAAGTAAAATACCATAATCATGATTTAAATTTACTTTGTATAAAAAAATTATGGATATGTGAACACAAAATTTCATAAAAATTATGAGTGAATTGAAAGATTAATGCTGTTTGTAATTAAAATTGTATAATTTCATCAATAAAACAACAACTTTACTGACAATTACACACTTTATTTTAAATTTTAGTATATAAAAAGCACAAGAATTTTTGGCACAATATTTAGAAAATGTTTAAATATTACATATTGATACAAATCAAGTTTTGAAATATTAATGGAGATATACATTCATATAAAATTGATCAATAATCATTTTAATGATTTCTTTATAAAAGATGCAAGACGACAAATATGAATGAGAATCATAAACCGGTTTGAAACATTAATACAGAATTATTTTTTTTTATAATAAGATCCTCTTATGGTCAACAGTTTTACAATTCTTAACAATCCAGACATTAATGAGTTTATTTTTTGTGTTTAGATCTGCAATTTCAAAATCTAAACACAATGTTACTAAATATCTGTAAATACTTTTTCATTTTGTTTATATATCATAAATTATTAGGAAAAAAATATACATAAATGTGATTTTATAATTTTCTGTTTGCTTTTACAACAGGCCCTCATTTTAACAGACCAATTTAAGAAAAAAATTTCTACTCTACAGAAAATTTTAGAATCTTTCTTCACTCATCAATCCAACCTTTAAGCATGTTTTATTCATAAGTCAATGAATATAAAATACTCAATGTACATTGTAAAAATAGCTTGTTCATACTTATATATCCTGTACACTGTAAATTTGTCATTAATATATATATATATATATATTTTATTTATTCGTATATTATTTAAAACACATTCAGTTTAATGAACTTTTGATAATAGTGGACACCCCCTTCCCCAAATTAGTCTGTTAAATTGAGGACATGTATACACTTTTTTGGGTGTATTTTATTCAAAAAATAAATATACTAAGTGATAAAATCAATACACCAACAGAACTTTATTGCCAATTCTGTGAATGGCAGGTGATAAATTTATCTGTTATTAATTTCTAATATTTACATTCATACATTGGTTTCTGGTAATTTTATCATGAACATAATCTACACATTTTATAGATTTTATAGATTTTTATTTTAATCTCAGTATTCTAAAATAAATTATCTATTATACTCATTAATGTGTGAAGTTTTGAAAATTGAGAAATCAATTATGATTATGCTAGAACTTTTATTACAACACGACGCATATTAAATTTTATATGCATAAGCACCAGTGATTACAGAATAACTTCTGATTCAATAAATTACATTAACACATAGATAAGATTCAACAAATTTCAAGTTACAGCAACTGATCATGCTGTCTGATGCAATTTTTGTATTATATTAAGTAAGATAATTTATAGATATATAATTTTCAATTTAGAAGTGATACTTAAAGGAAAAACTGTATTCTAATACATGATAATTTGTGACTAAATTTATTAATTAGATAAAGTGATTATTGCATTTCAATTTGACAACATAATACATTTTATTTTAAACAATAAATTACTGAATGATCTTTAGTTACTTATGGCTTAAAATGCAATAATCATTTTCATCTTTACGTGTGAAGGGCTTAAGATGTTAAAGAAAGATTCTCGTAAAATTGCTTACAAAAATTTATACAGAATTTACATCTTACTGGTATAAGCATAGATGTGACAATTTATTTACTATAAAATTGCCATAGCTATGCTATGACTATCTTGAAGCAGTCATCATGCCAACTTATATATAAATATACTTTATTTTACTTTACAGCACAGTTTATATTTAAGTTGGCATGATGACTGCTTCAAGATATCTTTTAATTTTGTAAAACATCTAATGAAAACTATTTGTAAAAATTTGCATTGTATGTTATATTATTTTATGTTATGTGATATAATCAATTTTAATGTTTTTAATAAACACATTTATGTAACACAAAATTAAGTTTTCTATATGATATAACAAATGCAAATTCAAACTTATAAGCAAAATTTTATAGTCTCAAATTAAATAATATTCTCTTTATGAAGAATTAATGAAGTAGAATCAGGATTTTTGGTGTTTAATAAATAATTGAAATATTAATATAGAACATTTTTCATTATTTCAAAATTTGGACATGATTATTTTTGGAGAATTAGTCTAAGAAAAGGTAAGAAAAAATTAAATTAAAAATCAGTATCAATATAAGCTAAATATAAACTGAAGAAAACTTTCTAAGCAAATTTAAATTTTGAAAAAGTTATTCTTTCTATTCTCTAGTGCATCTCCCAGAATTTTTATATTTATATAAATTAATCTTATTGTAAATTTTTTAACAATTAATACTTATCAAGAAACAGGAAATTGTTATCAAGTTAACAATCAATCAAAGATAAACTGAAATTCATTAAGTTACCATAAAAATTTATAGTATGACATTAATTAAGAATAGAGTTATAAAATATAACAACCGAGATTCATAAATATATTAAATTTAAGTAATATCCAAAAACAAACTGGCAAAACTGAAAAATATTCTTAGAAAGATTGACATAAGTTACTGAAATTTTACCGAAACATTAAACATTTCAGTGCTGTTAGTATTCAACACTTATTTAAAAAAATTCACAAATCATCATCATCATCTGATTAATTAACTTTCATTCAAAATAGAAAAAAATCATTGAAATTTCAACTGACTTCATATTAAAAATTGTAGATACCAGTGGTAACAAAATTTTAACGTAAATATGTTAATAAATTTTTGGAGATTCAAAGATCTCTGACATTTTAATATATGCCAAGTTTTAGTCTTCTCTTAAATTATTTGTAAACTACATTATTATAAATACACTATTACACATTAACAGTAACAACATTATAGAATAGATATAAAAATTCTTTGGTAATATTTCCAATTTTTTTTAACAAATAATAAAATGAGTATTGTTAAAAATGCAATTTTTTACTAGCAAATATGATACTTTGGAAGTCAATGCAAAATAAATATTAAAAAACCTGTTGAGACATCCTATTAATTTATATTAAATGGCTCCCACAATACATATCTTTACTGAGAGAAATTCTTCATTTATAGTATATATAAGATATTCTTGAAAAGGAGGTATCTTTTAGCAGTAGTTAAACAATTACCATTCATTTACTTCAATACTTGTGATAATTATCACAGTAAACACCTATAAATTGGTTTTAAAAAGTATTGAATAATTAACAATAATACAGTATCTTAATTTACTTTATACATATAAAATAATCATATAAAATCATTGTATTCAAATAGTACAAAGTCATTCTTGTATATCTGTTTTAATTTTCCTATTGTTTCTTGAGATATGTTGCGGTAATATGTGGACATCAGATCAGAAGATCGCTGGAAACGATAGCTGGCATCCCTCTGGGGAAAAACCATTTCCGTCAGTCCTGCTTGCCACAGGGTGTAATCTGCATCATCTTCCAAAGTCCGATATTTACCTATTATATCATACTTGATGCTGCAAGGGAAGCATAGATCAAACATTGGTCTCCAATGTTCATTAAAAGCTATTCTGTTGTTTGTCTGATCTAAATCGCCCACATAATTTAGAAACTCTTGGAAAGTTACATCATGTCCTTTATCTAAGGATGTTTTCTCTGGATTCTGTCGGTATCGTTTAATAATTTTTCGGCCAAATCTGTTCCAAAAATAAGTGCTGTAAATTTTTTCAAATTTATTTCTGTAGGCTGACAGTAGGCGTTCATAAGGATGCCTTACAAAAACAAATTTTAAGTATTCATTTAGTCTTTTTAAGATTTCTTCTTTGGAAAACATTTGTAGAGTAAGAAATTCATAAGAATGTGTTTCATTTCCACTTATGGTTAGGAGATTTTTCTTATTACCATTTTGTAAAGCTAAAAGAATTCTCTTCCAGTTTGTACAGGCAACCTATATAAATAACATATAATACACTTTTACAAGCTTTAAACAACCTTTATAAATATGTTTGAAGTTTGCAAATGTAAAATTAATTTTTAAGAAAACTATAAAATACATCAATCATCAAAAAATCAACAATGCAAAAGTTCAAAACAAGTTTATTTTTCTGTAAAATCACACTTATTTAAAAGTTCTTAAATACTTCATCATTCATTCATATCATTCAAATATGTATGTTTACAATACTTTTATTTTATTTCTTAGGTAAACTAGCTTAAAGTACAACAAAAAAATAAATAAATAATTTATTTTTAACACATTAAATTACTGAATGATCTTTAGTTACTTATGGCTTAAAATGCAATAATCATTTTCATCTTTACATCATCATCATCTGATTAATTAACTTTCATTCAAAATAGAAAAAAATCATTGAAATTTCAACTGACTTCATATTAAAGAAACTTCATATTTCAACTGACTTCATATTAAAGAAACTTCATATTTCAACTGACTTCATATTGAAAGAAAATTATGCATTCAGCCAGACCCACAATGACAGAAGCCAGACAAGACAGGGTCTGACATATCCAGAGTAGAACATTCATGAAAAATTCTAGAGAAGACTGAAGTCTGATTCAGGAAATTTTTATTTAGAAAAATGGAACTGATCCTGAATTAAAGATAAAAAATCCAGCATAACTGAATTTCATCTGTTTCTATTTATATAACATGTCCTCAGGAAGGTATGTTTAAAGACCAAAGATTACTTTTAATAAACAAATGTTCTTGATTTCTTTAAGTATTCAGGTGTAAATTTCTTTCTCAATCCCAATTTAGGCCCCTATAACTTTTGTCCAATTTTTATCTAGTCTACAGGGTTGAGCAGCTAAACTTTGAATGGAAAAGTTTGTTAAAGGATTTAGCAGAGTTTTCTCCATTCAATAACTCTTATCAAAACAAAAATACATGTTTTGCAAACAGATGAAACTAAGGATAGTTTCACAAGTAAAATCATAAATTGCTTTTAAGAGCTTTTATAAAATACCCTAAAATGATAAAACATGTAATATTCCTATTCCTAGTGATAATTGGTAGAAACATTATGCTACTATGCATATGTAGCTAGAACTATTTCTATGATTATCAGAGTTTTTAAGCAATTTAAGCATTTAAGCATTTAAGCAATCCCTCAAAGACGGTTGTATCAACAGCAGAGATGCGGACTTGCTCTCCTCCGCTTGGAAATCATTCTTCGACAACCTCTTGAAATTAATAGACCATCCCACCCTCACCGCGTGCAACCGTTAGCACTTTTTTACTTGTTGCGTTTATTTCCAATTCTACCCTCTAATAGTAACCCCCTTCTCATCCCCTTCTAATCGTAACCCCCTTCTCATCCCCTTCTAATCGTAACCCCCTTCCCATCCACGGTTGTTCGCACGCCTCTTCTTACTGTAGCGTTGAATATATACTGCCTCAACTATGACGTCACTCCCCACTAACCCCCTGTTGTGATTGTGCATCTCCTGTACGTAGCGCGCTTACTCTAAAAATCTTTTTCCCCAACTTTAGCAAGTATCCTATCTGCACACCTCCCTTCTTTACCAAAAGCATGTATTTTTCGCCCTCAGTATCGTATACCTATCATCGACGATGACGTCACTGGTAAGACGATACCTGGGTAAACATTGGCAGCATTTAAACTTCTTCTAACCGACGCTCCACAGTGTACCCGAGGAAGGCCTATTAAGAAGGCCGAAAACGTTTGTACTCCAGTTAATAAGGCTAGAAATTAGTGAGAAAGGTTTTTGTGCTGATAATCTTAGAAACATTATGTAAATACAAACTTACTATCATAATTTAAAAGTCTGTTGTGAATTAGAATAATTATGAGAGTAGAGTAATAACACCAAGTAGTAACAATATAGGCTGACCATAATTTCTTGATGCCAAAACAAGATGAGAACCGCAGCTGATAAACAGAAGCCCCTTTTTTTAATTAAAATTCTGTCAAGAAATAGAGATGAGCATTATTAACAATTTGTTAGTGCACTATTACTGATGATGGAGTAAAATATAATATATAAATCTCTCTAAAGATTTTATTTTTGAAAATCTAATAACAAACAAATGCTACTTTTATTACAATATGATATCAAATTCTATAGTTAGGCATAGAAGGTTTTCCAAGGCCAATATTTTTCATAAGAACTTATTTTGTTTAATAAGTTCTTGTCTCTTCAATTTTATCACAAAACTTACTGCATCATACCCTTAATTATGTTTCATAATTAGTATTGCTTTTGTGACTTAAATATTTAATGACAACTTCTCTTTTGATCACAAAGAATTTGAGTGAAAATATTCCTTCTACAGAAGATATAGCCAATAGTTCAAGAAAACAAATAACCAAATTCTATCAAATTATTACAATTTAGAAATTTAAAATCTTTCTTGTACATTTAATTACATATCAATAATATATAATTAAATGTTCTCCATGTTTGATTATTATTCTTTTTATTAATGCTCACTGATCAAATAACTGAATTTCATCTGTTTCTATTTATATAACATGTTCCTTAGTTTTGTTGAAATGATTCTGTATTTCTTACCATCCAGGGATCTTCTTCAACATTAATCATTCTAATTTATGACCCTTTATTACTGCAAAATAAATATTTTCTAGCAAATCTCAAGTTTAGAATACAATATACAAATGCGTTTAATACAAACTAGAAAGCTAAGTTTTTGGTTTTCAAAAAACAGGACAAAAATGAAAATTTTACTAAAACAACAGGACAGTCAAGACAGGAAAAAAATGACACTGTTCTGTTCAAAATAGTACATATGGTCAACCTATAACTATGACAATCATACATGATTTCAGGAAAATATGATAACAATCAAGACAAAATCCATCATATTTTCTTATCAATGTATCTAGGTTTGGATTCTGACTTAATGAATGGTATACAGAACATTGTAGAAAAGTAAATTGTAAAACAAATGAACATCCATTTGTTTGTTTTTCATTATCTTATGTTTTATATTAATGTGATTTATTAAATAGAATATCTTTCAAAAAAGAATGTAAATTATTTCCTATGCAGACCATCTATGGTAGTTATGCAAATCTAAAATTCAGTAGAATTCTATCATCTGATATCAGTAGTTATACATAAAAATAACCAAACGACGAAGAAAAAACCAATCCGAATTATACTAATAATGAAGATGAAGAGATACTTATTTGTTCCACGTTCTGTATGCTTGTTCAGAATTGAAATGTATTATCTAGAGTTTATTTAAAAATAATCCTTTCAATATTGACTATGCTCCGTGTTTTCATTTTTATTCCTTGTGCTAATGCATTCAATCTCTTCTCAATAAATATTCTATAAATGCATTTTTGAAATGAAAAAGATCAAATATTCTAATACATGACTGAACAATATCTAAAAGAAAGTTTAAAAATGTTTTAAATAACCTCAATTCAATATTCTAAAAAACTGCAAAATAAATCATCAGAATGTATTTACAAATATAAAATCAACACATTAATTAATAGTGATTCTTTTGATGAATTATTTTTAACTCCTGAAAAATCAAACTACAAAAAAACATTGTAGCATTTTCCACTTTTCTTCTGAATACTTTAATTCCTATCTTGTATTTTAATACTCACTCAAAAGAAAATAAATAAATATCAGCAATTTAAAAATAAAAGTTACCTTTGGTACATAGCAATATATGAGTTTGTGTTCATCATCAACAATTAAATGATCCAAGAGAGTAGAACTTATGTTGCTTATGCTGATATTATAACCAAATTCATTACATAATTTATTAATAATCAGATTTTTTGATCATCTGAAAGTCATGTTTGGGTCACCAGAAAATCGGCCTGAATGGGATAAAACAAATTCTTATATTCCAGAAAAACTACAGGTACTAATTTTATTATTTTATTAATTTGTTATGAAAATATTTATTGATTTAAAATTGCTTTTATGTACAGATATACTTTGAATATAGTGAGGAAGATTGTTTAGTGTCTGTTAATAAAAATTCTACTTTACAAGAGATTCTTAGAGATGATAGGTAAGATGTGATTTTCAGGAGCTTGTTTTTTTTTTTCAGTAAGTTTTCTTATTATTCTACATATACAAAACAATATTTTTCTTTTCTTTCAGATATTGGGTAAAAAATGGAACACCTGCCTTCATCATTATGGTTCAGAATTCAGAATTTGAAAAAGATTTCAGAGGAAGATATAAAAAAGTTTTGTAATAGATTTTTACAGTACATTATTTAAAATGCAATAGCCGTTGTTTCACTTATCTCAAATTTTTCTGGCTCAGAAAACTCATTTTCACTAACTTTATATATGATAAATGAAAAAAAAAACAACAGATAATTTTTTAAAAAGTTTGGTTTAATTACTGTATAAATGCATTTTATATCAGTTGGCTCTATCTTCATATATAAAATCACATTGAATGAAAATTGATGTAAGGGCTTTATTTGAAGATGGAACTGATGCTACTCCTAAATCTTTTATATAATAAGTAAATTGAATGTTTTTAGTTTTGTATCATAAAATTTTATTAACAGAAATTGCATTATATTTTACTAACAACTGAAATAATTAACTCGAAATTTACAGGAAAATTGAATGATTCCAGTTTGCAGTGTTNTATATTTATTTTGTTTGTACAAAATAAAAAAATAATTTTTAACGATACAATAGTCTTCGTTAGGCTTAACATCGACGAAAATTCAACGCAAAGCGACACGCAACAGAGAAAAATTTCAACACGGGATAAATTAATATATTTTTTTGTACATAATTGGTTATCCGAAAAATAAGTTATCCGAACAATCCCAGTCCCCAATTGATTTGGATAAACGACGCTCTACTGTAATTCTAATTTTATTTCATTTAATCACAAATGAAATATCAAATGCACATAAATGCACACATTGTCCCACAAAAATTACTGGCATTTTAAACTTTAAGGAAAAATCTTGTAAAATTGACAACATAATTTGTTCATGTAAAGCTGGACAATCAGGAACCTTTTTTGCCAATTCTTAACAGACGAATCCACTCTCTGTCGATTATACTTATGAGTTTCTCCAAATTCTGATTTCTGAATAATCATCTGTTTTTACATGGGAATGTATTGAAACTTATATTCGGCTCTTGTGTGATTGTGGAATTTCAATCTGAAATTCAATTCAAAAGCTTTGCTTTACCTATTGCTATTCATCTTTACTCCTGACAATCAATACACAAGAACGATTCAAATGATCCAGATAAAACACTTTTGTTTTTAAACACAAGTGGGTAAACATCTGGTAAAAAATGCAAATACACTGTTCAGAAAAATTATTGCAAAAACACAAAGAATCTTTCGCTCATGCATATATGACGACTTAGGTTTCTGAAACAGTTAAAAAATGAATAAAAACCTCATCTTATATGCGAGTAAATATGGTAATTTGATGATAAAAATTATGCATTACTAATAAATTTGACCCTAGAGGAAGGCGTTAGGCACCATCTCGTATTAAATTTAATAATTATAATTTAATTTTAAATATTTTTAACGATCATAAAATGGCAAAAAGCTTAATTTTGAGGCTAGGGATGGCTTTTTAAAAACATTTTAAATGCTAAAAACAAAATTGTCATTAATTAAGTCCAACTCTACTGGAGATAACACACAACCCCATTTATCTCCTCACCCCTCGACCTTTAATCACCAAAATTTAATAGAATCAATCCCCTCATAAACAAACCTCCCTGCAAAATTGCAGAAATTTTCAACAGAAAGCACAGGAGTTATTAAGCTTCAAACAAGGTGAACAAAATTGTTTTTCCCCACATCCATATATACAAAAAAAAAACATATTTTTTTGTATTTTTTGATGTTTCAAGGTGTCCCGAGTCCAAAAATGTAAAAATCTTGGGGGATCATTTTTTTTGACTGATTGCCATACTTTTCCTATGTTATATATAACAGCCAGGAAAATAATTAGAAAACTAGGATATTTCCTACTTTTTAGTAGGAAAGTGAAGCAAGTGAATCTGAGGCCTATATAGTACAATTATCCTTTGATTATACAATAATACTACATAAATAACATATAAATAAGTATCAATAACACTTATATTTAGTAAGTAATATATTCTTTCTTAGATACAAATAAAAATGTACAGTTTGAAATGATTTGATTATGAAGAGTACTACAAACTTTGACTGTAACTTTGACCATTCAAATACAAACTATCATACAATATTTACACTGATATGAGAGCCAAAATGCAACATCAAAATGATCTGATTATGCTGAAAAATTACCACCAAAATTTGTAGTAGACTTCTTCAAAATATATTCTGTAACAAATACTATCATCTCATTAAAATATAATTTTGGTTTACCATTTAATTAATAAAATGATAAACTTTATTAAGACCAGATACACACAAAAACATTGGCACTGATTTAATCTTTTTCACATTATTTCATTACCATAACAAATAAAATTAATTATTAATAGTAAAGATACAAGAATGAATTAATTTACAAGAGAATTAAATTATTAGAAAATGGGTTCAAGACAAAATCAACAAATTAAAACATTGAACTGATTTAAGTCATAAAATAAATGTTTAAATACTTGAAAACATTTGCATTTGAAATACATGAAGGAATAATCAAAGACAATGCTTAAATGAGGAAAATTAATTCATTTATTTTGAGTGCATTTTTTATTCAATTCTCTGAAAATGGAAGAAAAATCTAAAAATGCTTGCTCATATGATTAAGCATTATTGTTTTTAATGAAAATGCTGAAAGTAAATACTGTATAAGATAACATATCATAAAGATGAAAAGTAATTTCTTTTATCTTAATAATATTTTAAACATTTTGCTAATAAGACAATTATATTTGTTATTTCAACAAACATGACATAAATTACCAATCAAAAATAAAAGGAAAACTATTCAATGATGGATTTTAACTGTCAATGTTGGAGTTTAGCCAAAATATTAGAGATTAATCTAATCTAGTAGCTGGTGATTTTCATATATTTAAATGATAGTAAACTAATTTAAATATATCAATATCTATACATGCTATCTCTATTTAAATCAAGATAGCTGAATTTTACAAATTCATTCAAAATGATAATTTTTGAATTAGTTCTCTAGTTGATAATTTTTCCATGTATTGCAATTGATAAATTAATTTATGTAATTAATAAATCTTTCCTAGTATTTGAATATATATATATATATATATTTTATAAATAGATATCATAAAATATTAGATATGATTTCAACCAAAAATCTAAAATATCTTGGATGACTTGTAGACTATCCTTATCAAAAATCTCAAGAAACCTAAGTCTAGAGACCTTTCACAAGATATTCTGTTCCAAAGTTTTTTCTACATCCTTCTAGATAGATGAGACATTTCTATAAAAATAATAGTTAACCGCAATTTACGAGAATAACTTAACATTAACATTAAATTTGTAAATAATTAAAAATGCCATTACTTATTTTCCATAAATGATAAATTTATTTATTTATTTTACCTTGAAAACATTATACAATACATATACTATGTATATATGTGTACAACCAGGGATATTTTTAGCCAGAACATGCTGGTATGCGTAATGGCAGTTGCTCAGAAAAAATAATACAATAAGTTCCATATATGCACACTGGCAGTGATCTCTTTAGAAAACTGTATACAGCATAATATATAGACATGACTGAAATTTTGGAAACATGGAATGAATTAGTTATTGCTATTATTGTAATATACATACATGTAGTGCCCGTCCCCCATGTTGTCGTGATTTGGGCAAGTACGTTGTCGTGCGCAGGAATTCGGGGCAGGTGGGAAAAAAGACGAACCGTTAGAATCACGATGTAACGCGAACAACGTGTCAGCTCAAAGACGATAATATTTGTTCAACAATTAGTATTAAGATAATTTGTTTAGTGTTCTTTGTTTGTAATGTTCCTTTTGTGTATCGTATTAAAATATACGTCATTATATACCATAAGAAGTTCCTCGTATTCTTTCTTAAACTGTGTTCCATATACACTTCTTAACGCCCAGCCCAGCCATCTTTAGACATCCACATACATATCACCCACAGATGTTATTGGTTGAAATATGTCATGAGCATGAAGTAACATGCGAAGCAATATTTAAACTGGAACAGTGGTATGTTTCTTGTGAAATCATTCAATTTGACATTGTATTTGAAAATGGGAATTTTCAAATACAATGTCAAACTGAATAACTCAAACATTTTCAAATACAATGTCCAGCTGCTAAATCCAGAATTAAGTAGTGAAGCAAGTCCAAGCTGCTATTCTCTGTAAGTTACATAACCTACAGAAAAATTGCTAAAAAACTTAAAATTTCCTTATCTGCTGCTTACAAAACTGTAAAAGAAAATGATAAACTTGACAATTTTGCATCTCACTGCAAATCAGGAAGACTATAGATCACATCTTTAAGAGAAGACAGAATATGCTGAGGATTGTCAAGATGCCATATAAAGCCTTGAGTTTATCAGTGAAAATTAAACTTCCCAAAAGATGACATGGTATCAGTACATGAATGATAAGATGCTGACTATTTGATTCTGGCTTAAAACTGCAACAACCAGCAAGGAAACATTCTCTATAAGCCAAAAATATTTGTGATAGGTTGGCTTTTTGTAATGTGTAAAAAGACTGGATTGCAAAAGATTAGGAAAAATGGTATTCAGTGATGAAACAACAATGACCCAATTTTATTTCTCATGTCAACACATCAGAAGAC